TCCATCCCTATTTTTTGTCAAGACAGCGAACTGCAGATCTGCAGCTATCTGTGACTAAGAACAGAATTTAATAAATGGACTCTTTTCTGATGCCAACATATATATATATATATATATATATATAAATGCAGCCGTGTTCCACTTCTCTTGTAATATATGAATTTATACATATCGATCAAAGAGAGATAACTTTATTTTAACTTTGCTTAAAGTATTGAAAAGAATCGCGTTTACTTTCAACCTTTGCAAGATTCTTTTTATTTCTCATTCCATTAGTTGTCCTCAATTAAAAAAAGCAATACAGAACCGACAGACTAAGGATCAGAGTAATCAATGTCCATTTCATTCATCTGCCACTATTTGCTGTAATACCAAGAATGAAATTTTCTTTCATTTTTGCAGTACAGATATAGTTTAAATCTGACATTTTGAACACTCGATGTCTGAATGATCTTCCCCCAAGCATAGTTAAAATAATATGGTTAAGCCAGCCCATCACATTTTTTTTTTTGGCTGGTCTTTGAAAAATCCATGTTCCTTGATCAGACTCGATAAGGCTTACTGTTTTCTGGTCTCCAACACTTTAAATCCACTTCAAGTTTTACATGGCAATCAAAATCATTTGTTTAATTAAAAGATTCAATTCGACTTTCCTTAGAATACCTTTAATGACGAGTTTGCATTTGGTTGAAGAATGGTTAATTCAATGGAATTGGAATGTGATGTTTGTAAAATTCTCCCAAAAATTACATCAAAGGATATGGAAAGACTGCTAGCTATATCGATATAAAAAAAATCTTAACCAGTTACTGAAGTTCCATTTATTTTTCACAATAATTGCGGGAATAAATAATAAAAATTTCTCGTTCATTATGCCTTTCAGACTTGTCACTTTTAACAAGATATCAATGAATAGAACGAGAAAGATGTGTGTATCTGAATAAGATACATGTATATACTTAAAAAAATAATTACTACAATTTACACCTTTTTTAACGCGTTATCCAGATCCATCATACAGCTGTATGAACAATTTTTAAAAGTCGCATGCTGCCTCCAAAACATGAATAGTCGTAAGTTTCCATGTATAATGCAAGAGCTGTGCATATCTGGTCACTTGTTTTTTGGACTTAAAATAATCATTTAGGAATGGATCTTTTTTGAAAAAAAATAATCTAATTACTTATCTGAGAAAAATTCACATACAAACATCAATGGATCCTTAGTGCCATGTCTCCTCAGATCCAACACCAATGCACATTTCAATTTGACAATATACAGCCACATACGGCTCATATGACAAATGTATTTTTGCGAAGCCACAGCATCCTGTTCTGCCTCCATCCATCCATCTAAATTGAACATACATTGGACAAATGGATAGGCATATCCACCAAAGACATACTGCATCCCCAGACTCTGCAACAATTGACCAAAGCTCTACATTTGGATTGGGATAGTATACAGTTTTTAATACACTCATTTGCGTCCATTGGGATGACGTTTTATGCCATCATAGGTGTCTGTGAGGGGCATATCAGATATTGATCTTTAATGACCCTAAACTATTACTGTAAAATTCTTGACTAATTATGACATTTAGATTGTAGACTTATTGTTCACCACATTCTTTATTATCGATACATTATTCTATTAAGTAACATTTATGTTCAATGTGTCACTAAAATTTTACTATACCTTTCTTCTTTTTTTGAACAGTATAACTTTTACGGAATGAATCTTACAGAAAGTATTACATTAATCAATGATCTTGAAAATATAGGTCTCTTGCAGCAACCAAAACGTTATTCCAAATTGCAGTCCTGAAACCCTAGAATAACTTTTCTATAACAGAATCATATTTTTACAGCACAAAATGTAGTAAAAGTTATAATGATAGGCTTTCATAAGGAACCTAACTTTTTATGCCCCCGTATAAAAGATTCGGGGGTATATAGTTTTTGCCCTTTCCGTCCGTCTGTCTGTCTCTTTGTCCGCAAAAAACTTTAACCTTGCCCATAACTTTTGATTGGATGGAGCTATGGCTTTCATATTTCACAAGTGTATTCCCTGTGACAAGACCTTTCTTTGGGTACCACCATATTTGACCTTGACCTTGGAGTTTGACCAAGTTTTGCAAAATTTTACCCAACTTTAACCTTGGCCATAACTTTTGAACAATTGGTGCTAGGGCTTTCATACTTCATATGTGTAATCCTTGTGACAAGGCCTTTCTTTGGATACCAATAACTTTGACCCTTTGGACTTGAACTTGGAGTTTGACCTACTTTTGAAAAACTTTAACCTTGGCCATAACTTTTGAACAGTTGATGCTAGGGCTTCCATATACTTCACATGTGTAATCCTTGTGACAAGACCTTCCTTTGGATACCAACAACTTTGACCTTTGGACCTTGACCTAGGAATTTGACCTACTTTGAAAAACAGTCTAACCTTGGTCATAACTTTTGAATGGTTGGTGCTATGGCGTTCATACTTCACATGCGTAATCCTTGTGACAAGACCTTCCTTTGGATATCAACAACTTTGACCCTTTGACCTTGTATTTTGCCTACTTTTAAAAAACTTTAACCTTAGTCATAAATTTTGAACGATTGGTGCTTCGGCTTTCATATTTCACCTGTGTATTTCTTGGGAGAAGGCCTTTCCTTGGGCACCATTAATTTCCACCATTTGACCTTGATGCTTGACTTACTTTTGAAAAAATTTAACCTTTTCCATATCTATTCAATGGTTGCTGCTAGGGCTTTCATATTTCACAGGTATATTCATCGAGACAAGACCTTACTTTGGGTACCAATATATTTGATTTGCATTTGAAAAAGTTTAATCTTTGCTATATAGATTGCCATACGGGGGCACAGTGTTTCACGAACACCTCTTGTTTTTCTTTTATTCAGGCTAGGAAAGATATCATAATTCCGTAACCTTGTCACACACCCACACAAGTAGTCAAATACAAAATGATTTTAAACCAAACAAATTCTACTGAGAAACTTAATTCGTTAAGCTCCTGGGGCCAGCATCAGAATTCCAAAACCATAATTTTTTATACATGTACATGTTGATAGGACATAACCAATGGTGTGAAAAGAAATGTTCACCACTCAAAATATTGGAGAATTTATGTCAAGAAATCAAGAAAATATGCCGGACGTGGATACCAGAACTTTCTTGAGAAATTTAGTTTTCTAGACCGATGTGATTATTACTTATACTATGACTACATACATGTATCTTTGACTATCTTCTAGGTGTAAACGCAAACCATCCACTTCGAATATGTTCAAGGCATTAATGGAACAAGGAAATGAATATTACATGGTGTACTAAAAAGAGTAAACGACAATTCCCGACAAGGCTTCCTTGTATAGTGTACTATTTAAAGAAAGACTGAACAAGTATTTAAGGCATTTCCGTTGTTTATTTTTCGTCCATAGTGAACTTTCTGAAGGGATCAGGCATCACGCCTGTTTTTGGGTGCATTAGTGAGTTTTTGGGAAAGGACTTAAAAAACCACAACTGACAGCTGCTGTATAGATCAAAGGGAAAAAGAAGCCATGGCTGCAAGTCATAGAACGGCTACATCAACTAGAAAGTCCGAATTGCATTAACCAGGCGAATGATGTATAGCTTTGGGGATGCATTAGGTTACCTGGTATTTAGATATAAATATATTGCTTTGCTTCTATGGTGATTTTTTTTTCATCACATGCATGGAAGAGTTCCTACTTTTATTCTCGGCTGAATAAAAATTATCGAAAGGCAAACATTTCTCTTGTATATGTAGAAGTTGATCCACCCAATAACATACATGGGCTCATCCAACAATTTGTACTAAAATCTTTTAACAGAGTCATCAACAAAATTTTATACAACAATACTGCTGCCTAAAAATTTCAAATAGTTACATTGCTCTCTAAAGTATTAAGATAACCGTTAGTTACTAGTAAAATACGACTATCGCCATACAACAATCTTCCGATGTCTTTATGGCTTTTGCTAAGTATTCAAATCTTTACGTCAAGTTGCTTTATTACAGTTATTTCATTTTGAACTGTTCCATAGTACATTCCATATTCAGTTTGCTATTGGTAGAAGTCCTGTAGCGTAGGAGGCAAGAATCAATGACGTTAAATGTTTGCTGATCCTCCATGCACTTTCTTCCACTCACCTGTCTTTTGACTTCCATTTACGAGGGCATTTTATGTAACTTTTATTTTTTCTGCTTCAAGTTTATCAATTCCCCTTATTTTTAGTAAACGTATCTGAATCATGTACTGGCGTACAATCTAGTAACTATTGTGGCCCCGCCCTACCCCCAGGGGTCATGATTTTAACAATTTAGAATCTACACTATCCCAGGATGCTTCCACTTAAGTTTCAGCTTTTCTGGCCAAGTGGTTCTTGAGAAGAAGATTTTTTAATGACCCCACCCTATTTTTGTCTTTTCTTGATTATCTCCCCTTGTAAGGGGACTTGGCCCTTTATTTTAACAATTTACACTCCCCTTCACCCAAGGATACTTTGTACCAAGTTTGGTTAAAATTGGCCCAGTGGTTCTTGAGAAGAAGTTGAAAATGTGAAAAATTTACAGACGGACGGACAACGGGTGATCAGAAAAGCTCACTTGAGCTTTCAGCTCAGGTGAGCTAAAAAGGATGGAAATTAGGAAGCATGCAAAAGATTTAAAAGATTTGTGGTTGAATTGAAAACGAATCTGATAAACATCGGTAATGTTGACGTGCGGCGATACTTATCTGTTTTGTGTTTATCTTCACCTTCTAAAAAGTGTGATATATACCTTAATAAAAATTTAAGGCTTCAATTAAAATGGCTAGAGATTTTAGTATATAAAATTAAGTTGATGATTTCCTGTAATTAAAATATCTATAGTACCAGTGACATTTACTTTCGATCAACCCTCGTAAAACCATACAAGAAATCCACACAACTGTGTATACACAAGAACACTGTAATTGTTTTTTTAATTTATTTCAACCTATTTTGACTCTCTTTGATGGATTAAAATCAAATTCAAGGTTCAGATCATCTAAATCTTCAGTGTCTTCACAGTCTAGCTTAAAAATCGAGGACTTGAAAGAATTCACTTTGGTTAGCCATGATGGGCCACACAACACACTTTTTCCATCACTATTTTGCGATGGTTTTGGAATATCTGTTGAATTCTCTTCATTACTTGCCTTTCTTTCCTTGTCTACTTTGAAAATATTTCTAGATTGCGGTTGTAATTTTTCATCATAACTTTGAGAAAGTATATTTGAGACGTCGGTTTCCACAACACTTTTACTAAATGGTTGAATACCACTTTCACTTATTGATGAGCTTTTGTCTGAATCTGTACATTCTGTATCTGATCCTTTCTGAAATTTCTTCAGTTTTGTTAATGTTGATGGAGAGATTCTCTTCCTTTGACCTGACTCTGTTGGTGTTTGACGGGAAACTTTATCTGCACTTGATTCAGAAGTCCTGGTCTCCCCGTTTTTCTGTTCTGGAAACTGTGTTCTATCTTCTGTGCTTAAATTTAAATCAGCATTAAAATCCTTCCTACCATTATGTGGAGAGTTTTCATTCAAGACACAGTCTTTCTGTTCATCTACTTTTTGTTTTAATTTCCTTATCAAATTTTTATTCTTCTGTTTTCTTATCAATAAGTTTTGATCTTTTTCCTTCCTATACACAAGCTTTCCAGCTTGCTTTTCACTTCTACTACCATTTCCCTCCAGATCTTTTCCACAACTCTTTTCATCTTTGTCTTCATTTTCTGCAAGCCATTCTGTTTCAGAAGAGTTGCTCAAAGCAGATGGTGAAACATTTATCTTTGAAATCATATTTGTCAATGGATGTGCTACCTCAGACACATCAAATGACTGATGTTTGCCACCGCCTGAACCAGCAGATGGAATCTGGGTTGAGGTCATTGGGTGATTATCTGTTGCAAGAGAAATATCACCATCTGCTGTGCTTACATTGAACAAGTCCTGGAGTGATCTATCACAGACATTCTCCTCCCCTTTATCAGAGGTCAGATCTTGATTTCCATTCAACAATTTACCATAGTTTTCTTCCTGAGCTGGTTTTATTTTACCATTGTTTTCTTCCTGAGCTGGTTTTGTAAAATGTGACTCTTCTGGTTCAGAATCTGGTTTGTTTTGCTCTACCCTTTGATTCCTAAAAGCTATGGAAGTATTTGTATCTTCATGCATTACTTTATTTTGAATTTCCATGGTTTTCGCTGCCTCAAGAGCCGCCAATCTCTCAAATTCCTGTTGTAAAAGATCTTGTAATTCTAGCCTGTTTAGTACAAGGTCAGCTGCAACACCAAAAGTTACCTTCTATTAGCATTCATAAATGTACATATATTTTCAAATGAAATGATTTCAGCGTATCATACATGTATATAACATATAACTAGGATGTGAGTGAAGAGATGTCCCTCTACTTTTTCCAGTGATAAGCTGAAATGAAGTTAAATTTCAAAATCTTTCTTTTTTCCTATTTTACCTTGAACTTTGTATTCTTCTAAGGCACTCTCGGGAAATGCTGTATGGAGTGCATTGACACCTCCTAATAATGCAGCACCCTTAAAAAGTTAACATCATTACAAAACATATCTCTATGGATACAAATTGCTATCTGATCAACAACTTTCACATGGAATCAAAAATTAGTAGATATATCAGAGAGATACAAAATTTAACCAAAATTGAGGAATAGGTGTTAATACCTGCATGGTAGATTCCATCAACGTGACAGCAACGACAGCATCTTCCACTGTAACTTCATCCCTGAACATTAGCCTAGCATGAGCTGTTGTAAGTGCAACATAGATGATCTTTAATTAATGCATTGCAAAATATTTGAAGATCAAATTAATTCATAAGAACAGCATTTGCCAGAAAATGCTGTCAAAAGTAAATCTACATGTAGGATTTGACAATGTGTCATTTTTGTACATGGCACATATTTTTGTTGTGACAAAAGATTAGCATTATAGGAAATATTTTCAAAATACCTTGTGACAGTCGAATCATGCTTTGTAGTAAACGCATTGTGGTTCTTGCTGCATTACGGTCATCTGCTAATCTTTGTGCTTTGTAATATTGGCCAAGGACTCTGAAAAAGGAATTTAAAATCTTAAATAAGTGCCATATTACTCTTAACCTTTCACTCTATCTAAAGAAATATGTATAATTATTTGTCAGTTTCATCCAGAAATTCTTTATTGAAAGTAACAAAAAATGCAATTTGATTTACAGAACTTACTTCTACAATAAATATGAATGATCATCCTTTTTAAAAATAGGGACGGTGTTTATACGAGGGGTTATCAAAAAGTTCGTGGACTGACGCGATAAAATTAATAATATGTAGTCTTTGCTTACAAAATTTATGCGGAACATAAAACAACAAAAGTTTAAGAAATGTTGAAAATTTTAGCTTGATACGTTGATAATTTGCCAAATTATTCTAAAATTAAAAAGACTTTATGTGATCATCCGGCGCTGTCGCCGTTTAGTGTCATGACGTCCGTTTAACGTCATTGTTTCTTAATGTCCGCTCTCTCTACCTCATACACTTATCTTGATGAGATTACCTGGAGTTAAGTAAGGACTTAAACCCGTCTTATTTATATGAATTTACAATGTCATGAGCAGTTGTTTTCAATGCATATAATATTGTAAACGGATCTTTATGTGGGGAAAGATCCTCACTTGATTATGCCAGAATACTTAGCTTGTTGGAGTTCAATTTCTACCATTCATGATCAACGTCACTTTTCGACGTGACTGACTTTTGACACCCTGACTACAAATCGACACTAACTGTGCATATTTCATCTCTCTGAATCTTTTTGGGCATTAAAAAACAAGTACTCTGGATGCATTTTATTTTTCTGTAGCCAGTTTAAACATTCCTTAGGTCAATACCAGTTTTTCCAGGAGCGAAACTCTATAGAGTGTTTGAAAAAGAAACCTCTCACCCTTTTTGACGTTATTTTCAAGCCCATAATTGTTTGAACACTCCATATAAAATTTACGATAAAATTTCATAGAAATTACAGAATGGGGTAAAAATTGCAAATTTTACTGAACAAATGTGTCGTACCACATGCCTGAATTAACGAGATTATTTGATGACAAATACTCATATCTAAAGAGTTTTTCTCAGTTACACTCAGGTAGAAAAAAACGTCATATTAGAGGTTGCGCCGCCTGGACATACCTTTGCTTACAAAAACACTAACAATTTATTAAAAAATAAAAATTATGATTTATGGTTTATTCTATAGATAGAAAAGATGATGCTTACTAAATGTGTAAAAATTCATTGGTGTACCTAAAGCGGTTTTAATTTTATGACGCTAGTCCACGAACTTTTTGATAACCCCTCGTAGATGGTTCAATTTATGTAAAAAATAAAAAATAAAAATAAAAATAGCATAATAAAATTAAATTGAGAGTTAAAAATTAACTTATATAAGCACTATCAAGAAGACACTAAAATACAAATATACCATTCAATCAGAATTTTTAGCGAGGTTTCAATTTTGGCATTATTAGCAAAGGTTTTGGAGTTGTTAAAATTGAATATCGCTAACAATTTATTCCATAATGGTTGTGATAGATATCTTTCTTGACATTATAAAACCACTAAAATTAATCTTGCTAAAAATATATAAATTTTTGGGGATAAATCGCTAAATTTTTGTGTCACTAAAAATTCCCATTACATGGTAACGGACAATTACATGAACAAATCATTAACATTGAGTGCTATGGAAAAGTGTTACTATGTTACCTTGTAGCATCTGAGGTGAGTTGGGGATCAATTGTTTTTATGAGAGAGAGGTAAGCCTGCACTTTCTCCATACTCCAGATTGTCTTTGGGTCAATTTCTCCTGCAATGCAAGAAAATTTACTCCAGTCATTATTTCTACACATTTTTCATGAGTGTCCTCATGGAACTTTTGTTTTAGTTATTGTTTATCAATAATGCAGTTTTCCATACATTATTTTAAACATTGGTCTTTAAGAACAGTTCTTATTCATAAGGCACTGAGTAACAAACCTAGAGGGTCTTTGTTTTCTAGAATGAAGCTAGACACCACTCTGTCCCAGTCTTCATTCTGTGAGTCCAGGAGCACCAGGACAAGGTCAAACCTGCTCAGTAGTGGACTGGCCAGGGCAATGTTTACACTTAAGCTCTGTAATTAGATTCATTCATAACAACTCTAATGACAAACTGAAATAAAATGTACATATACATGTACTAGGTAGACATACTTGTATATATCAAATTGAATATCCATGTGACATACATGTGTATTTTAAACACTACCAGTATTTTAACCTTTGTTTACATATGCCTTATATGCCTTGTTATAACTGTTGCTTGGATATTTTAAAAACTTTTATTATTATGACAAAAAGTAGAAAAGGCATTACAATGAATTAAACTACCTGATCTGGATCATATTGACCTTTAGGATTTGTGGCTGCTAAAATAGTTGTCCTGGTGTCCAGTTTACAAACCATACCAGCCTGTAAATGATTGTTTATGTTCTTCAATAATGTAACATGTATTCTGCATCTGAGCACCTACATGGACTTTGACATGAAGTTATCATTCATACATTATCATTTTTTTTCAAAGTTTTTTTTCAATTAAGGTTCAGCAAAGATAAACAAAAAGGTCCTGCAGAATTTTCAATTTTTTCATAACATTCCTGATATACATGTATTTAAATTTCCCTAAAATCTCTTTTATCAAAAAAAAAAAAAGAACTTCAGGAGGCATTGCATAACAATTTATATTACTACATATCAATACTCAATATTTTACCTTAGCTACACTGATGGTCTGCTGTTCCATTGCTTCATGAATGCTAGCCTTGTCATGTTCCCGGATGCTGTTGAATTCATCAATACAACACAGTCCCCCATCTGCCAGCACTAGAGCACCTGCTTCTAATTGCCACTCCCCACTGTCCTGTTGGGTATACAGAAATATCAGTTTTCTGGTTTACAAAGCTCATAATGCAGATCATGCACAGTGTAAAAATAGATTTTAAAAAAATCAGATGTCAAAACTGTATACCGGTATGTCAATTACTGATTGCTTTTAAAGTTTTTGTTTTTAATATTTAATGTACTCCAAAAATATATTTAAAATACAGTCATGAATGAATTTTTATGTACATTTTTACCCAAGTACAATCATTCACAAGATTATTTTCTAAGACATAGACATATAATTGTTTGTATGTTTTCAATTTTTGAATACATCTCTTTGCCCTTGCTTCTGCAAAGGGACCAAGAGCCTAAAGAGGGAGTTATTATACAAAAGATTTAGTAAAACCTTTTAAAATCATTTCCTTTACAGGAATGTCTGTCTGCTTGTATTGAAAAAAAAAATGCTATCTATATATCTGGTATGAAAAGAAACAACAACAGGATAATGCCTGAAAACTTTCACTTTCCAAGGACTTGGCTATGCTTTTGATCAGGACATAAAAATGAAGTTTAAATCAGTACACAATGGTATCTAAAATGCAATGCATTTCACAATCTTAAAAAGAAAATGTGTTTTTAAAGCAACATATTCATATCCCTCATTTTACAAATAACTTGCAGGGCTCGACAATAACTTTTTTTCCTACTTGTTCATTCGGACAAGTGACCAAGACATTTACTTTTCCGAACTTCAACTTCACTTGTCCGAAAATTTTTCAGCAAAGATCTAATACTGTCAACTGGAAAACTAAATTAAGTCCATTACATGTGCTTGATGTTATTTATAAATACAACAAACATATAAAACAAAATTTTATCTAGATTTTCTGTCCTGACAACAACATAAATGTTTACAAGTGAAACTGTCAACATAAAACAGAATCCAAACTTCATAAGTCTCATGCCTTTGCAGTAGTACGCAATAAGTGAACTTCGATCCCGATCGATTGTGAACTCAATTACATAGCGATCCATATCGGGATCGAAGTTCGGTTTTTATGTACTGTTTCCGTCTATAAGGTACTGTAAACTTTCAACAGTCAATCTTTAATTATTTGGAGACTTTTTTACATTAAAATGCACTTGTCCAATTGGACAAGTGCCCAGCAATATCCACTTGTCTGTAATTTTTTTTCACTGGTACATGTACCAGACAAGCGGACAAGCGTTAATGTCGAGCCCTGAAGTTGACTTCTTACCTTGACAGCTGTCACAGTCAACCCTGCACTCGTACTGCCTATCCCAGTTGTCAACACGGATCGGGGGGTTATCTTGGCAGCATACTTCAAAAACTGAGATTTTCCAGTACCTGAAATTTGTTACAAATATGAATATTATTTGTCATGTTGTTATGATCAAAATCCCTCTTTGCTTATGCATAAAAATTCCCCACTTCACTACTGTGTATTTGAGTTTTGCACTTTACACTGAAAGATTAACTAGAGGTACTGTGAGCTTAATAAATTATACCCCCTACCACAATTTTATTGGAAGTGTCCATATAAAATTGTTTAAATGTGACTTGAACTTGCCTAAATGACCATGGTTAAATAATATTATACATGTACCCCCTCTGGTCTTAGGTAATCTTTATGTGAAATATGGACATTCAAAGTTTCTCCATTAGAGAATTATAGATATGACATAAATTTACACTTTTTTCAGTGATAATAAAACAAGAAATTTTTATCTACAAGATTGATCATTTCTTGATGTATTCCCCTTACCTGGATCTCCCACCATCAGCATGTGGATTTCTCCTCGTACTCTAGTTCCAGAATCATCAATACGCTGAACAACATGATAAATCAAAATTGATTGATGGTGTCAGTGAACAAGATATAATTTGACAGAGTTTTGCACTAAAAGTCAGTCACTTTATTGTATGTTGTCATCATTATTTTACATTAATTATTTCAATTCATGTTTTATTAGAAAATTTTGAATGAATTAGATATCATACCTGGACCCCTCCTGCTAGGACGAGGGCCACAGCCAGTTTGACCACATACAATCCATACACCTGTGGACAGAGACTGGCCAGTATCTGATTCCTGGCAGTCAGAGGGTCATGTCTGTTGTCCTCCCAAAACTTTATAATCTCAGACTTCTAAATCCCAAAGTCATCAAACATAATCCAAAGTCAAATTTGATTACATAAAGGACAACTACTGTAAATCACTTTTTATTTGTGAGAATGTAAATATCCTGTTATTACGCCAGAATTACATTCTCATCTTTATTTTTATTTAGGATAGGATATATAAAGCAATAAACAGTTTTCATGGAAATTTAGTCTTGCTTACAAATACCTTTCTTGCGAAAATAAGTGTCGCGAAAATTTGGTGATCTACAGTAAACTGGATATTGTTTGGATACACTGCTTTTGCATTAGGGCTGTCACGATTAACCAAAATATCAGTTAACCGTGAATCAAAATCTTCGGTTTGATTTGGTACGTTTTTCCCGGATTTCAATTCGATTCAGGTTTGATTTTTTCAAACTAACATCTGCTGTTGTTAAGTGCATTCTGATTGGTTAACTGGAAGAAATGATGGCAAATCATGTTAATGTAAACAAAAACACAAAAATGGCCGAGAGGAAGTCAGCGGGGGACTACTAGAGAGAATGTTCTATCGTTAAAATGATAAATGTCATACGGACCCGGTTGTCCTGAGACACAGTCAGATTATTCTAACTAGGGGACTACTTCCATTTTCTACAGAAAGACAGCACAGAAAATTAGTGCATTTAGGCCACAATTATCAGCAATGCAGTATTCTGAATTTAGAGGACCTAACACAGTGCTTCGAAATTTCATATTTCTTTTTAATATTGACATCGTTTTGAATGTGAAATTAATCACTGTGTTGTTACGACAGCAATGTTGTCGGCTGTTTGATATCGTGTTGGTGAATCAAAAATCAGGGATCCAACCGTAATTTCTATTGTGGCAAAATAGCTTTTGTAAGCAATCACCAATACTTTTAGGTTTAGCATATGCAATCATGGACGTTTTATTTGAAAGATTTGTATGCATGTTTTCTCTTTTAAAACTAATGACCAAAATTTTAATAACTTGAATTTCAGACATTTAATACTTGGTTCATACTTTGTAATTAGAACATTAGGTATTTCCTTTGCTTTCTTTGTTTTACATTCCATATTATCTTAATAATTCTGATAAAAGTGTGTTTCATTATTTATTTTGAATTATCAAACATTACAAATTTTATACAAAAATAAAAACGGTTCTATTTCTTATAATCAAATCGAAATTATTCGAAAATCAAGGTTTTTTGTTTGAACCGAATCGATTCGAAAATTTTCTGATTCGTGGCAGCCCTATTTTGCATGTTTATCAGGTTACATAGAATGGCAATAGAGGACATTTGGCCAATAAAGAGGACCTTTAGCTTACCAGTTCTTGAGTGACCAGCACCGTGTTCCTCTGTTCATTAGTAACCAGTATGTGGTTTGCCTCTAGAACCATTTCGATGTCACATTTGGAGTCCACAGACGAAGGTCGCCATCTTCTTCTCACTGTGCCACTGGATATGCAATAATGAGAGATGAATGGTCAAAAGCATTTTGGTGTTGTGTATTAGTTTTATATCCTTTCCAGTAATTATTTACAGTAATTATATTTGAAAATAAAAATTTTCTCTGGACATATGCTGTTAGTCACAAATGTCATGTTCAATTTTCAACATTTAGTTAATGTCTTGAAGAACAAATACCTCATCACTCCAATTCAAAATGATTCACCTAGCTTGCTCAAATGAATTCAAATCATTTGTTACATTTCAATTTACCAACAATGTGAGCCTACACCCATCTTATTCTCATACTTTAACTTCAGTAGTTTTCAAAGCTTTAATGTTATGACACTGACCAGATGATGACATCATCACCAGCTTTACATCCGTCCACTAGATCATCCAGCACGATGACCCACATTGACCTTGGGATGGTCCCCACGGCCAGACGCTGGACTTGTTCCTGGATCTTAATCTCTTGATAGTTTCGACACTTCTGTGGCTGACCCCCTTTTGGAAATTTTCAACACTTATAAATTAGCATTCTTGAATCTTATTACACTAGAACAGTATGCCTGTTATTCATGAAGCACAAAAGTTATTTTGAAAACATGTCTGAATATTCAATATGAAGTTCCTTTACATACAAATGAATTACTCTTTCCCCCTCCCAAAAACTAAATTTTTTACCAAAATTGACTTACCTGTGTCTGAAAGCGAGGTGAAGTTGAAAGAATTGCACGTTTCATTGGAACATTTGCTGGGTTTGGCAAGATTGAAAAACTGCTCTAAATCTGCCTGTTGTAAGAAAGGGAAAAAATCTACATGCTGAACATGTATAAAATTATAAATATGTACAGAACAAAATTTAAAGGGGCATGGACACAGATTTGAAGTTTATATCCTTCAAAATTTTTGGTAGAATTTCGGAACTTACATATTTCAAGAGCATCTCAGATGAATATATTATGAAAACCTGTGTAAAAACGTCTTTTATCTGAAAATTATCAAAACTACTTATTTTGGGTGTTTTTGTTTGTCAAACATCCTTGACTTTCATGAACTAATTTTTCCTTAAAAATTAAGGAGATGGGAAATCTGAGGTGTATTAAACAAGAGGCCCATGGGCCACATCGCTCACCTGAGTACATTGGCTGGGCAAAAGCACAAATCAGTTCAGTATTGAAAAGATTTAGAGGGGGGGGGGGGGGGGGGGGCTTGAATTTTAAACTACCTGATGATGCTTCCATGTCAATATAACAAATGGCTTTGCTGTACTTGAGAAGATTTTTAAAAAAAATTTCCCATATATTCCTTTGTAAAAATTTGATTCCCCATTGTGGCTCCTCCCTATCCCAGGGGTCATCATAGGAACAAACTTGAATCTACACTACCTGAGGATGCTTCCATATCAAAATGACTAAACATGACTTTCTGTTCTTGAGAAGAAGATATTTTCCTATTTGTTCCTATGTAAAATTTTCGATCCCCCATTGTGGCCCGACCCTATCCCCGGGGGTCATCATTTCAACAAACTTGAATCTACACTACCTGAGGATGCCTCCATATCAAAATGACTAATCATGGCATTGCAGTTCTCCAGAAGAAATTTTCCTATATATTTCTATTCAAGACTTTGATCCTCCATTGTGGCCCCACCCTACCCTGGGGGTCATGATTTGAACAAAATAGAATCTACACTACCTGATGATGCTTCCATATAAATATGACCAATCAGGGCTTTGCTGTTCTTGAGAAGAAGATTTTTAAAGATTTTTCCTATATATTTCAATGTAAAACTTTGATCGTCCATTGTGGCCCCACACTACCCCCGGGGATCATGATTTGTACAAACTTGAATCTACACTACCTGATGATGCTTCCATATAAATATGACTTATCATGGCTTTGCAGTTCTTGAGAAGATTTTTCCTATATATTTCTATGTAAAACTTTAATCGTGCATTGTGCCCCCCCTACCCCCCGGGGGCATGATTTGAACAAACTTGGATCTGCACTACCTGAGGATGTTTCCACATGAGTTTCATCTTTCCTGGCCCTATGGTTCTTGAGAAGATTTTTAAAAGATGCTATTCATTTTTCACTAATTTTTAATTATCTCCCCTTGAAAGAGGGCATGGCCCTTCATTTGAACAAACTCTTCATCCAAGGATACTTTGTGGCAAGTTTGGTTGAAATTGGCCCAGTGGTTCTGGAGAAGAAGTTGAAAATGTGAAAAGTTTACAGGCAGACGGACAGACATACTACAGACAAAATGTGATCAGAAAAGCTCACTTGAGCTTTCAGCTCAGGTGAGCTAAAAATATATTAAAACCATAATGAAGAAAAATAAAAATGTAAGAAAGCAAAAGCAACACACCAGTGTTGTCAGTTTTTGATCAGTAATGTGAGCAATGTCAGAAAATCAAACACACCCGATAAATGTAAACATTACGTAACAAAAACAGAGCTCTTCCAATGTTTACAAACACAGGAGTTTTGTGTAAGGTTATGAAGAATGCTGTTGTCATCCAGCATTAAAAATTTTCATGCAGCTTCAAATCATTAAACTGAAGTATTTTTCAAATAAAAATAGAACTCAAAATTGTAAACAAAATATCAATGCAAGTGTGTCCATGTCCCTTTAAAGGGAGAAAAAAAAAAACTTACTTGCACGGTACAGACATTTCTGCACTTTGTACACAGAAAGTCTCTCTCATACTCCAACATTTTCATGACTGTCGTTCTTATCACTGTTCCTTATTGAAGAAAAAGAGGTTAATTAATCCACATAAAACTAGAAAATGTGACCTATAAAGACTATATACCAATATACGTATAAAATAATTCATTTGTTAAACATACTAGTCATTTTAAATTAAAACCTGTGATAGCGAGAAAGTTCCCAACATCCCCCGCCCTAGGTAGTGTGGTTCTGTGTAGCTCCGGACAAACAGGAAGTGACATCACTCGGGCATGGATATTTTTCTTCACACCCTGTGTGTAACAGGTGATATATAACTATGTACATTCCACATAAAGATAAAAATATTTCTAGCATTTATTAATCACATAAAACAATTTTTTTGTGAGGTCTTCTAGTGCAGTGAAAGACAGCTACTAACCCTTTGCAATTCTAAAGATCTGTTTCATAATATGCATATAAGAATGTAAATGGTGACTTTAACAAGAGGCCCAGGGGCCATATCGCTCACCTGGCTAGGAAAAGGCAGAAATCACTTCAATCTTGAAAGGTTGAAAAGTTTAAATATAAAAGTGGTTGGTGGGGGGGGGGGGGGGGGGGGGGGGTCAGGAATTGAACAAATTTGAATCTACATTATCTGAGGATGCTTCCATTTAAATATGACCAATCATGGCTTTGCTGTTCTTGAGTAGAAGATTTTTAAAGATTTAACCTATGTATTCCTATGTAAAACTTTGATCACCCATTGTGGCCCCACCCGACCCACAGGGGTCATGTTTGAACAAACTTGAATGTACACTATCTAAGAATGCTTCCATATAAATATGACCAATCATGGCTTTGCTATTCTTAACAAATAGTTTTTTTTAAAGATTTTTACTATGTGTTCCAATGTAAAACTTTGATGGCCCATTGTGGCCCCACCTGACCCCCGGGGGTCATGATTCGAACACATTTGTATGTACACTATCTGAGGATGCTACCATATAAATATGACCAATCATGGCTTTGCTATTCTTAACAAATTGTTTTTTTTTTTTAGAATTTTTACTATGTGTTCCTATGTAAAACTTTGATCGCCCATTGTGGCCCCACCCGACCCCCGGGGGTCATGAGTTGAACAAATTTGAATGTACACTATCTGAGGATGCTACCATATAAATATGACCAATCATGGCTTTGCTGTTCTTAAGAAGAAGATTTTTACTATGTGTTCCTATGTAAAACTTTGATGGCCCATTGTGGCCCCACCCGACCCCCGGGGGTCATGAGTTGAATAAATTTGAATGTACACTACCTGAGGATGCTTCCATGTAAATATGAGCAATCATGGCTTTGCTGTTCTTGAGAAGAAGATTTTTAAAGATTTTTCCTATATATTCCTATGTAAAACTTTGATCGCCCATTGTGGTCCCACCCGACCCCCGGGGGTCATGAGTTGAACAAACTTGAATCTACACTACCTGAGGATGCTACCATATAAATATGACCAATGATGGCTTTGTTGTTCTTGAGAAGAAGATTTTTAAAGATTTTTCCTATATATTCCTATGCAAAACTTTGATCGCCCATTGTGGCCCCACCCGACCCCCGGGGATCAAGATTTGAACAAATTTGAATCTACACTACCTGAGGATGCTTCCATGTAAATATGACCAATTATGGCTTTGCTGTTCTTGAGAAGAAGATTTTTAAAGATTTTTCCTATATATTCCTATGTAAAACTTTGATCGCCCATTGTGGCCCCACCCTACCACCGGGGGTCATGATTTGAACAAACTTGAATCTACACTACCTGAGGATGCTTCCAAGTAAATATGACCAATCATGGCTTTGCTGTTCTTGAGAAGAAGATTTTTGAAGATTTTTCCTATATATTCCTATGTAAAACTTTGATCGCCCATTGTGGCCCCACCCGACCCCCAGGGGTCATGATTTGAACAAACTTGAATGTACACTATCTGAGGATGCTACCATATAAATATGACCAAGTATGGCTTTGCTGTTCTTGAGAAGAAGATTTTTAAAGATTTTTCCTGTATATTTCCTATGTAAAACTTTGATCGCCCATTGTGGCCCCACCCTACCCCCGGGGGTCATGATTTGAACAAACTTGAATCTACCCTACCTGAGGATGCTTCCACATAAGTTTCATGTTTTCAAGCACAGTGGTTCTTGAGAAGAAGATTTTTTAATGATGCCATTAATTTTTCACGAATTCTTAATTATCTCCCCTTGGAAGAGGGCGTGGCCCTTCATTTGAACAAACTTGAATCCCCTTTACCCAAGGATACTTTGTGGCAAGTTTGGTTGAAATTGGCCCAGTGGTTCTTGAGAAGAAGTCGAAAATGTGAAAAGTTTACAGACGGACAGACGGACAGACAGACGGACAGACGGACTACAGACAAAATGTGATCAGAAAAGCTCATTTGAGCCTTCGGCTCAGGTGAGCTAAAAAAAAAGCCTAAAATATAAGTGATATTTAACCACAAAATATGATGGTTAAATTGTTATGAAATTACATGTACAGAATACTACCATATCATCTTTCTCTGAGTGTGTTTCCATAACAACACTCTGGGCTTCCAGGAGAGCAAGGTCAAAGAACCTCAAGGTCTTCTCTGGACATGACAGAAGCACGTCACAAACCATCATGTTGTTCTCAAACAGTGTCAAAGCACTACAAGTTACAATAGAAAATACATTACAAGCAGTCTCTAGTCTCAAACAGTGTCAAAGCACTAGAAGTTACAATAGAAAATACATTACAAGTAGTCTCTAGTTCTCCTCAGGTCACAGATTGTTGTATCAACAAATTATTATAGGTCTTTTAGTTTCACTGGCTTTCACCTCAGCTGTGATAGTGTTTTATTTGGTAATTACTAGTCTGGCAATAATAAATTGTCCATATGCTTCTGGATGAACTGATGTTGAGTAATATTTATACATGTATTCTTAAATTTTAGCATATTGTAAAGAGGATATGAAGAATTTGTACGAGTGTATAACTGGTCAATGAAATCCCGAAATTTTGACTGCTTTCCTGTGTTTTCTGCAAAATTTTGATTCTGGTCTAAATCAACTTACTTTACAGATATGGAAAAGTGGTCATTCTGATCTTCATGAAGTAAAACGTCTACCAAATCATTTCGATGATGTTCCAATGAAAATTCCAACAGAGCATCTGTATGAAAAATTTCATTAACCCTAGTTAGTACTTCACTACACAAGTTATTGATAAAGAAATAATGAGAACCATTCTATACAAAAAAAAAAAAAAAAAAAAAAAAAAAACATTCAAAACCTTAAAACTGAGATTGAAGAATATTTGTTCAAGTTTAAGATTTTTTTTCTCATCATCAAAACATGCAAAATGTGATCATTATCAATTGTATAGTGAACAATTCTAAAATTAGCAATTGCATGCTTACATGTATGTTAATATGGACTTTGTACATTAGGTTACAGATCTCTATGATTATGAACACCCATGTATGGCAAGTATGTGTACTGAATCTTTAAAAAAAATTGTCTGCAGCCTTCTACATCAAGCTGCCATCCTCTGTCACGGCATTCCGGCCTTGTTAAAAAAGTTAATGTCAGTGTATGGTTTTTTTTTTTGTTTTTGTTTATTTTACACGACTACCTTTTCTTAACTGAGTATCTAGTAGGTAGAAAGAATTTCCATTCATATTGATTATCTGTAAATAAATATATATCGATACATGTATACAGTACACATCAAACGTACAATGTACACTATATAACCTTTAGTCAGTCAGCTTCAGTACGGAAATACACTGTAAGCAGTCAAAACAAACTCATGAAACTGCCCAAATGTACACATGCCATTATTTCACACCTCATAACTGATAGAAACCATTCACAGAGAAAAATGTAAATCCGGTCAAAACCCATCTGTTACTAGCCACTGTGTATTTTCTGTTTGGCATTTGGGTTTAACCAGCAGTCAACAGTGGTCCACATTACAGTCAAAGTGATAGAGATGTCGTGTAATTTTTACCTTTCAAGTCTTTGCACTGATCGCCTGATTTATCTTCTTCAATTTCCATGGCAAACTACAATCTACAAGAACATCACTAAATACGCAGTTTTTAATGTTTTTGTTATCACGATTAACGTTCTCAGACTCATGACTGTTTACTTTGTCATTCCCGCTTTCTAGAAGTCACCAACTAGAACCAAGTCCGTACAAAATTCCGGAAAATTAAAAATAATAAATTAGATTAGTTATCAAAGAATTTCTTTTTTTTTCTTTCTAAGAACTAAAAGAATTGCGTTTTGCATTGTGCATGATAAAAATGTTATGTTAATAATGAATCATTCAATAGAATTTACTTTTTTTACTTTGCATAATCTTCTGAGTTATCGTTCTTTTATTTACATTCTAAAAATAAACAGGGGTTTTACGTTTGTACACGTTGACTTTTCAAATAGATGATGAAATAATAAGACCTAACTTACAGCGCAAAAGTAAATTCTCAAAACCAATCAAATTACAACACATGAAATAAAGTAGTATAAATACCCCAAGACCTGAATGTCAAAATTATATTCAACCTAATCTACCACAGAGAATATAATAAGTGAAAATTTGAAATCATACACAGCTAACTTTATACAGGTAAGATTCGGACGCTGATAAATATTATAGGAGTTACTACATATATAACTCATTCTATATTTTTTTATTCTAAGGAAAATTAATAAATATTTATCTTTTTTTTATTTATTCAACAATATTTTTTTTAATTATTACTTTATAAATTAATTCTTTTAAAACTATGATTCAATCTGTTCATTTTAATGTACAAAATTATCAATGCAATTAGAATTCAAGTACCTGATATTACTTTAACTATAGGCATGCCTTTCTTTAATAAAAGAATAATATCTTTTTTTTATTCGTAAATACATCGTTACATTATTCTCGCGGGTTTTATATCCATTCGGAAAGACCCATAGCCTGCGACGATGCCGTAAATGTAGTTTCTGTATGTTAACATTGCTAATAACTATATTTAATTCACTTAAAACATTTATCTTTTTCTCTTTAAAGCTTTAAACCCGAGAAGTGAGAAATCAAAAGGAAAGAAAAAAGTAAAAATTAAACATTTGAGAAATTCACATCGCAATCATGAGGATCAAAAAACAAGGAAGGAAAATGATGCTCAGCACAATCTTACCATTGACGCTTCTATCCCTGGTGGCTTCCACGTCAACTACCGCAGACAGGACAGATCCCGTAATAGGAATAGATTTAGGAACCACTTACTCATGGTAATTATAGCTTAAAATTCAACACACTGTATTTATGGAATAAACTTGACAGTATCGATATCAGAGCTTTTAGAAAATTGTTCCCTTTAGAAAAAAAATATTGAGGACAATTCAACTAATATTTATGTATTTATCTTAACTTGCTTCCACAAAGGACATTAATTTTTTAATATAATTAATAAATTTATGTTTCAGTGTTGGAATTTTCAAAGATGGACATGTTGAAATTCTTCCGAACGAGCAAGGCAATCGAATCACTCCATCTTACGTTGCTTTCAATGCTGACGGCGAAAGGCTGATAGGCGACGCTGCCAAAAACCAACTGACGTCAAACCCTAAAAATACAATATTTGACGTCAAAAGATTGATAGGACGGGAATGGGACGACCCCACTGTACAGAAGGATGTGCAATATTATCCCTTTAGCATCATTAACAAACACAACAAACCACACATCAAAGTACTTGTTGGCGAGCAAGAGAGGGTGTTTGCTCCAGAGGAAATTTCCGCCATGGTGTTGAGCAAAATGAAGGAAATAGCCGAAGGATACCTCAAACAAAACGTCACCCGGGCTGTTATTACAGTTCCAGCTTATTTCAACGACGCCCAACGTCAGGCAACAAAGGATGCCGGGACGATTGCAGGCCTAGAGGTGCTCCGAATTATCAATGAACCGTACGTATTATTTTAAGTAAAGGTTTTTAGATACTTACGAACAGCGACCACTCTCATATATTTTTACAATAGTCTTTCTTACATTTTTCCATCTTGATTTGACTGTAAATTTTCAATGCACTAGTGTTTTGATAAATGTTTTTATTGTATGGGTATCTATTCAGAATTAAAAATAACTTCTTTTCGTCTAAATAGAACCGCAGCTGCCATTGCCTATGGACTCAATAAAAAGGGTGGGGAAAAGTCTGTCTTGGTGTTTGATTTGGGAGGAGGAACATTCGATGTATCGCTCTTGACAATTGACCAGGGAGTGTTCGAAGTCGTTGCTACTAGTGGAGACAACCATTTGGGAGGAGAAGACTTCGACCAACGTGTTATGGAATTCCTGATAAAGAAACACAAGAAAAACACTGGCGTGGATCTAAGGTTCGTACCTAATCACTACTAGTAGTTATCTACGCCTTTTCATTTCTATATATGCTTTATGATTAAGGTTGAGCTTGTCAAAAGTAAAGAGTTAGGCACCCAGTTTGATACAGCCTATTCATGATTCACACTTAGTAAAATGAATAAAAATTTAAATCTAAGCAAAGTATTATTTATTAGATATCAGTTATAATTTAAATCACATCCTCTCTATCACATTATTGGCTTTTCATATGCCCTCATGTTGTATTGGTTCAAATTTACAGGAAAGATAATCGTGCTCTACAGAAGCTACGCCGAGAAGTGGAGAAAGCCAAGCGAACACTCTCCTACCGCCACGAAACACGTATAGAAATCGAGGCTCTCTCTAATGGCGAAGACTTCTCCCACACTCTTACAAGAGCTAAATTTGAGGAGCTCAATATGGTATGTTTTGGAAATACAAAAGCTTTATAATGTTCACTAATGATTTCCCTTCATCATAGTAAATATTAATTTGCTTTAAACTACGGTAACATTTGATATTTTATTTATTTTTTTCCCGAATCCTTCCAGGACTTGTTCCGGTCAACATTGAATCCTGTGAAACAAGTACTCAAGGACGGAGACATGAAAAGATCCGACATTGATGAAATCATTCTAGTGGGAGGTTCCACACGTATTCCCAAAATACAGCACCTTGTGAAGGAATTCTTCAACGGAAAGGTAATATATCACACATTGATAAGAAAACAGATTATTTATTCAGAAGCATGGAATATATTTGAAGGAAAAGAAAAAAACGCAACCTGTTAATATTTTTTTTAAATGTAAACTGTTTTTGTAGGAGCCTAGTCGAGGTGTGAACCCAGACGAATCGGTGGCTTATGGTGCGGCGGTTCAGGGGGCTGTGCTCAGTGGTGCTGACGAAATAAGTGACGTTCTTGTTGTTGACGTCAATCCACTTACTTTGGGTATAGAGACAGTAGGCGGAGTTATGACAAAACTCATTCCACGCAACTCCCCCATTCCCAACAAAAAGTCACAAATATTTTCAACAGCAGCCGACAACCAGCCATCCGTGACTATTCAAGTATTCGAAGGTGAACGACCCATGACTAAACACAACCATCTGTTGGGAACATTTGAATTGACTGGGATACCCCCGGCTCCAAGAGGAGTTCCTCAAATTGAGGTCACATTTGAAATCGATGCAAACAGTATTCTGACAGTATCGGCGGAAGACAAAGGAACCGGAAGTAAGAATAAAATTACCATTCAAAATGACAATAACCGGATATCCCCGGAGGAGATAGAAAAAATGGTGAAAGACGCTGAAATGTTTGCCGAAGAAGACAAAAAAGTAAAAGAAACTATTGATGCAAAAAATGATCTGGAACATTTTGCATATTCAATTAAAAATCAGAATAGTGAAAAAGGACAACTTAGTGAAAAACTTAGCGAGGAAGATAAATCAACGATTAAGGAAGCAGTGGAATCTACCATAAGCTGGGTGGAGTCAAACCCCAACGCTGAACTAAATGATCTCAAAGAAAAAAAAATAGAGTTAGAGAACATAGTGCAACCAATCACAAGCAAGCTTTATAAAGAAAGCCAGAGTTCAAAGGCCAAGGAACGAGAGGACCTTTAATGGACATGTGTTCTATGAGCATTTGATCTGTGATATTATCATAAATGAAATGTCCCTTCACTATTTATTTCCATAAATATTTATGTATAGTTTTCATTTTCATTCCTTTCATACAATGCAACCGCAATGCAGTATTGTTATGAACTGATGTTAATTGTTTAAATATTTGTATGTTTTTTTAAATAAAAAATCTAAGAAAAATATCTTTCTTGCCTGAACATTCTTTTATCTATAGCATATTCCAGTAAGACAAGAATGTTAATTTTTGGATTTGGATCGATTATTTCACAGCAAAACTATGTTTTGTTTTCTTTTTGTTAAGAGTTTTTCTTCACTCAGGTGACATATTGCTATCCGTTCTCGTTTGTCAATTTTCGTCGTCCGTCTTTTGAACATTTCCGTTTCTTCTCTACAATCATGGAATCAATATCAACCAACTTTGTTATATAGCATATACAGAAAAATGTGAATTTCATAGGTTTTGCCTTCATGGGGCCTGAACGATGTAGTCAAAAATTAATGCAATTGGTATTCAAAAATCCATTAATCTTCAATCTTACCCCTGGTCATCAAGCAATCAAACTGTGGGCATGATTATTGTTAACAATGATCCCAGTTAACCTAAATTGTGAAACTCATTGCTATTTGGTCAGGGTTCAGGCCCTATGGTAGGACTTAGTTGGTCATATATAGTTAAAAAAAGGCTATAAGGAAATCACGGGGCCCTCGAATTTTTCTTGATATCCATATAAGGAACATAGTGAAAAGAATTCTACAGGATTCGTAAAAAAAAATTTCAAATTTACTAATGGGCATCTTGCAGTCACTCAGTCAAATTGTTTGCATGATTATATAATTAACGCTAGGCCTTGTACTAAAATGTAAAAATTCATACCCGGCCCCTTGGTCCATGGTTCAGGACCAAGAGGGGGTTAAGTTCATCATGTATTGAAATTAACTAACATCTTTGAAAATCCTCATCGAACATCGAAATATATAGGTGACAAATTGTTTGCATTATTTCAATAATTTGCAGATAATTTTTATTTGAATTTTTTTTTTTTTTTTTTTTTTTTTTTGTATTCTTTTGTTTTTGTCTCTTTTGGAAGGAGGGGATCTTATGGAAAATTTGGAATATTGGACCTTTCAATGAAACCAAAATATTTGGGATTATACTCGTATCTACAAAGACAAGTTGATGATGAAAAAAACGTCACTTAAGCACCTACCCTGCTGTGTTTTGTATATATCGGTTAGAAGATCAAGAGACAGACCTTAATTTACGGCAAGTCAATTTTTCTGGGGTTTCCCCAACATTTTCAAATCTGTTTAGAGTTTTGACACATCCCACATTTCAACCACCCCTTAAATTTTAGTCCGAAGCAAAATCACTTAGTTTCTCTTCTTACAAAAATGTTTTCAAATTTAAACACGAGAAGAAAGAAATGACACACATATACATATTGCACAATTTCCAGCGTCCAAGGATATTAGTGAAAGATATTAATGAAATTTAATGAAATTAAAGCAAATTTCAATATGTTGTTTAAAATGGTTGTGATTTCCATTAATAAACATTCATCAGAATTTGTGCACAGCATAAATTTTCACGATAACTTGGGCCCAAGAATGGTACATGGTAGTCTAGCTTTTTAATAACTGCATTGAGGTACATGAGAACCTCATGTGGACACAGGTTCAACAGCCCCTGCTTATTTCCATTTAACTTGGAAATTTGCCGGGGGATAAGAAATCTGCTCAAAACGTGAGAACATAACTTTATCGTAAAGCATGGAATTATTTTCCATAAACCATTGACTTTCATGTGTGTTTTCATTTAAACTTCTAAAAAGATTTTAGCATTGATCACAATAGATTAATTAATTACAATCGTGTATCAGTGCTCCATTAATCAATAAGATGGTATATATATATGTGCTTGCATATGTCACATTAATAATACTATAAATAGATATTTAGTAAACACTAAGATCTCAATATGTCAAACTAGACAAACTTTGTACAAACGAATCAGCCAAAGTAAATCGTCTTCAGTACTACAAAGTTACCATTCACGTAATGAAAAAATTCAGCAATATCTTAATGGAAGAAACGCTTGATAAAACAATAAAAGTCACCTTGACAAGGAGTATTAAGAATTAATACGAGTTCCACTTAAACGACTGTTGCCTCCAAATACTTCACTCTTAAAATTCCTATCAGACCAGTTTGTTGATGGGAGGGAATGATTAAGTACAAGGCGAGGAAGTAATATGGAATTCAGAAGCTTGCTAGGTTAAAAACTAAGCCTTGTGAATTCTTTACTTCTCCATCTGGTATATCCTTCTTCTTTTTTCTTCTTCTTCTTCTTTTTTTTTTTTTTTTTTGTTTTTTTTTTTTGTTTTGATAATTAGTGTTTTCATCTGTTAGAATTGCATAATATGAAGATCATTTAATCAAAAAGATATTGACCGTTTTCTGAGTATTGTGATTTTTTCAACTGATAACTGACAGGAACTTTAGATCTGGGACCATATAACATGAATTTTAAAACTGTGGTAGGGGGCTCCTTGCTCTTAATGAAAGTCTATTATATCTGTTAGATGTTCAAGAGTAGAGTTTTTTAAGGACAGACGATACGTTCCTATATAATATATATTTTTTCCTCAAGATTTTGTCATTGAGGTAGCGCTCCTTTAACATGTTTACTCACAAAAAATTGAGGTACCTTACCAGGCATTTGTGCAAGATACCAGAGGGTAGTTTTCCTTATATAATCCTTTTGGGGAAAAAAATAATTTGCCAATATTATTTTTTTTAGTGTTTGGATTATTTAAAGACGATTAGAAACTGCATGGTTTAGAAATCTCAAGGTATTTAAAATTTTGAATATTTTTCATACATTACGAAGATATACATAACAGACATTCGAGGAACGTATCGTCTGACCTTAACATACAGGTTGTATAATACATTTTCGATATAAACGCCACCACTGGGTTTACATCTCGGACGCCTACCATGCAGATACAAAGTTCATCATTTTAAAAAGAGTTCTTAGCTCACATTGCTATCATGCGTAAATATATGCATGCTAAATGTCCAGATAAGAGGATTGTTAAATACCTCTATATGACTTAAGTCAAAATGTGCAGAATGCACTAAAATGGACTAGGAGTCAATCAGTGCAAAATAAAGTGTATTGCAAGATTACCAGAATGCTGTGAACGACAAATTTAAAGTTTCGATTCACATTTAATTTAAGCATAATCTACATGATTGGTACTTTGTCTTATTTCTTATCCACTTCCAAGACCCCGAGGCCAGATGCCAATTTTTGAAGAAACAATGAATTTTCAAAGTATGACAAATTTTGGGTTACCCTTGGATCTGAACGCTGAACACAGGGAGCATGCATTTCACAGTTTTGGTGGATGGCTATTATTCATAATCGATAAAACATTGTGCTTGCTAGGTAAGCGTAAATCAAAATAAAGATTTTCAACAAATGTATAAATAACAAGGGCACAGCAATGTGGAGTATCCCCTCGCAAAAGAGCACATCCATCCTTATATAAATTATTACCTTTGTAACTTCCCGTCTCACCCACTCACTCACCGTCTCACCCCCCCTCACCCCCCCCCCCCCACACACACACACACAACCGCGTTGCTATACTGTGTATCCCCTCCAACTTCGTTGCGAGGGGATAAGTAATAAATTATTATTACTAATAATATATGACCAATTTGGCCAAAACGTTAAGCCTTAAACTTAAACAAGCAGTATAGTGAATTGGACAATCTAGGTGGAAGGTTTACTTATTACAATCATACAGTTTACCTGCTAGATGTCAAAAGTATAAAACTTTGAAATGAGTCTTTAATAACAAGTTTCAGCTTATAAGATGCAGATGGAGTAGTCAATATTTGTGAAACAAGAGAATAACGAGTAAATTCTGTACGATAATTCAGGCCCGTAGGAAGCAATGAACCAAACATTTTCAGTTGGAGGGAGGAACTACCAAGCCAAAATTCATTGATAAGCAAAAAACAAAAAACAAAAAAAAAAAAGTGGGGAAAGGTCATCAGGCGTTAATTTTGAGGAGGCACAAGCATGGAGTACGTATGTTTTCTATGGTATACTATATCGGCAAAATTAGGGGGCACGCCCCCGCCCCCTCCCCCGGTTCTTTGTGATTTGCAAATCTCTAATATATTTCATTTTCTAGAGTACATCCAAAGAAAGAGTTTTTTAGTTGAAGGTGTGTTGGTGTCTTTTTTTCAGCTACTTTATAAGGATGTCCACCCATCGCAGACTTTGGTCGCAATTATGCACACCTGAAATAATATTTCGTTACACCTTCAGACTATTGAAAATGATGAATTCTTTATTGTTTGGGTTTTACCTGCAGACATAAACATTTGATACTGTTATCAGCATATCAAACAGAATATTTAGTCAATATACCTGTATACATGCGGCTAGATTGACATTGAACTCGACTATTTTTAGATGGCCATTACTTAATTGTAAGCAAAAGTTTGCACGTCATACATAAATAATTTCGAAGGGAATTTTCCAAACATTTAGATTTTCTTATCAATCTTAATCCTTTATTTCCGAGTAGTTGAAGTTTGATGACAGTTCCTGTTTCTCCTCTAATATAAAATCCAGTTGCAAGGTTATATTCTTTTTATTTTTGGCTCAAGAATTCGAAAGTCATTATGTTTTTATTTACATTGGTGAGTATGGTTGGATATGCATCGTGTGTGTTATGTAAAAAATGTTTGGAGTTTACAGTTATACTCACACAAATTAAAAGTAAGAGTTGAGGGGAAAAGTTAATAAAGTACTGATGTACAAGTAAGGAAATTTGATGATCTGTCATTGTTTCAAAATCAGGTGCAATTTCAAAATTTAATTTAAAAAAAAAGACCCATATCTCAATTTGGCATCCTGTATTTAGTTGCCAGAGGATTTTATTTTGAAATGTTTTTCGTGTAATGTTTTCACTGACCATTAAGGTATCGTTTAGGATGCACGTAAGAGTAATAGATAGACATGTGTCTTGGCTAAACCTTTTATGTTTAAAGTGATGGCGTGATATTTGCACGGAGTAAGCATTAGCAGTCTTTAAAATGCTTCAGTAATGATCATTGTACTAACCTACATGTATACAGAACACACATTTCCTTTGAATGAATTTGGTAAGAAGTTGATGATAACGATAAAATTTTTAATGCATAATGTATATTCATTTCATTTTCTTTTTTTCAGATGTTTGGATTTCTAATTCAGTGTGTTAAATCCCAGACTTTTCCACAATTGTGTTCAGCCCAACAGTTACAAAATTACTTAAATCACATGAACAACGAGACATTCTTAACCACAGGTGGATATCAACTGTTTGTTCATACCCGACCTCTGCCAAATCTCCACCCTTCCTTATTTTGTCGTCATCCCCAGGACGAAGACTCTCCTCTCCCCCAGGACAGATCCAGTTGTCCATGGTACTACAAGTACACCTCAGACCCATTAAGGTTTCCTCGATACATACTGACTGCAAAACCTAAAAATAAATGCTTTTTAAACGGGAACAGTTCTCCAAGACACTGTCGAGATTTTTTACATAATGGTAATCCAAATCCTAGTGGAATCTGCGAAAAAGTGGAAATAGAAGTATTGACGTTCAGAAAACAGCATCAGTCCGACCCTTGTTATTCAAAAGGACCAGTGAAACAAAAGATTGCAATTGCATTTGGTTGCGTATACCAAAGGACGCAAAATGTGTTATCGCACAGACTCAACAAATCAAACTGGTGACTATTTATACGATTTCAGGTTTAGAACCCGTCCATAAACAAATTTCTTATTATCAGTGTTCATAAAAGGAAAGAGGGATAGTTTCATATCATTAATATATCAGTGTAAGTTTATTGCATCATGAGATTATATTTTATTTTATTTTCAAAAAGGTGCATGCAATGCACATTTTTGTATTATTTTCATGTTCATCGTGTTGAGATACTATAAATTGTATTTCAGAATCATTGTATTTTAATAGATATACTCATTGAACATTTTATAGAATACAGAGTAACTCTTTTGTTGTTTGCATGTCACTCTAAAATGGCAATAAAGAATTTAATTAAGTTTGGTGCATTTTTTTCCCTTTGAATTACAGATTAATTTGACACAGGGTGATTTTCAAAAGTGTCCAACAATTGTTTGACAAAAGAGCAGTGTCATATAGGAGGTACCTTTGCGAAACCTTTTCTATTTTTGATTCAATTTAAGTTTATTAAGACCAACTAAGTTGAAGTTTTTACCATGCTGCAAATGCCAGGCGGGGACCTAACATAAAACGATACACTGGAATTCAATTTAACCATGGCACTGGTAAAAGCATCCATTTTGATATGATAATACAATTCAAACGTGAAAGAAACAAATATAAAATACCAAATATACTTTAATTTAAACATCTTAACAAACACACATACAAACAAAGACAACCAGCACAGCTGGGTTCCTGAGACAAAAAGACGAAATGACAAAAGGACGATTTATTTATTAATCTGTCATCCAACTCCTCGCGTTCCAAATAAATACTCTGTATCCAGGCACCTCATTGGGGCTGGGAATGAGATCCGTGCATAAAATCTGAAAAGAGTAAACATAGCCTTCTGTTTATCCTTAAAGAATTACTAGAGACTTGAGATCTATTGACTTTGTTCAATATGACGGTTGTAACGATTAAGAATTCCAATTGTATTTCTGTATTAGTTCAACAAGTGGTACAAGGACATTGTTTTGTTAATCAAGATAAAGTTAACCCAAAGGATTGTTTTGAATCTTAATGGAATTATATACTAATACATACGAAAAATCACAACACTTCAATGGCTTGTTTCTTCCTCAGCAAAAGCTCTTCGTTTCGAATACGCTTTATTTAGCTTTTCTGCTGCACGTTTCCTTCTTCCACTAGAGCAAAAAGGCATGGTTTAATTAGTGACCTAGTAACACATGTTTGAAAGGTGAGAGAAACAAAGTTGGGGGTATTATAAGTGTCATTTCGAATAAAAAGCAGTTAAAATGAAAAAGACATGATAAAAATTCCTTTAAAACCTGACGTAAGCGTTGATAGATGATGTCATCGAGGAAAGTTCAATGATAAACATGAACATACACAAGATTTATACACACATACATGTATATTCTATACACATTGGGGAAAATATGCAGGTCACGATCAGGCTTTCTCAATTTTTGTTCAACAAATGGAGTTTTGTTTAAAACTTTAAATTAAACTTTTGTTAATCCAATTTTTAACAGAATGATATAAATATTAATTGCATTGCAGAAGAAGGTTTTCAATAAAAGAGGAAATCACTGAAATTTAATACGATTCATTGTTTTAACTTTTACTTTTTCTTAAGATTGATGGTAACACACAAAGCCACACAAACAATTGTGATCTTAAGATGAGAATGATGATGAAATCTCCTTATTAATAAATTCCTAATTCATTAATTCTCTGCTAACAAATACAAGTAGGGTAAAGAACTAAGGGAAGACACAATGTACCCTAGAAATCTACTTACTATACATGAAAGAATGACTGAAGCCAGACAGAAACAAGACAGGAAGGTTTTCTCGAAGACAATTTGACATGGACAACTGTGAAGAAGGCATTTCAAAAGACAGAAGCTTGTAGGCAATTAGACATGAAGTGCGCATGTCTGTGCAAAACATTGCCTTCTCTGATACCTACATGAGAGATGGGTCTAACTGTCCGTGTGCAACGTTACCGCGACCATGAACTAACGCAATAAGCGCTTGAAGTTCTGCAATGCGTTGATCGGAAGAAGTGCGTTTCCTGACAAATCTGTATATCATAAGAATGATACCATTAATACATTTCTCAGAGATAAAAACAAAGTTTTTTTGTCAAAAATATGACCCTAATAGACAAAGAAAGCTCCATACACTGTATCAAGTAAAAACCAAAAGCTGAATAAAGAATGGAACAGAGAGAAAAGCAGTTTCGGGTTTTGCACAAAGAGATAGAGAAAGAAGGAGCAGTAGAAAAATACCTTCACCACTAGCCAGATAGAAGCATTAGGAGAGTAAGCACACATATGACGTCACAGAGCGTGGAGTTGCCACGTCACTCTAGAAGCAGACGACAACTATTACACTACTACCTACATCTTGTAAGGATCAAATAGACCATGAGCAATAACATTTCCTTGGTTCTTCAAACCTAGTAGAGCTTTAATTTCGGCAACTCGCTGATCGGACCATGATCTCTTGTCATATCTGGATAATGTAAAACGATATAAAAGATGTTATATGAGTAAATGAATGCTGGTAACCCTTCTATAACTAGTGTCAATGAGGTGCACATGGGTGTCGGGCTGGATTATAATGCAACCTCATTCGCCTTATTAGCATTAAATGTGTAGGGAAATCGGGTTTCCAGCACGCATTCTGTTGGTAAGCATGCGTGTTGATACCTTCTAAATATATCCACTATCCCGCATGCGTATTGCGAACATCCTGTGGGTAATCTGTTGAGTATTTCTCTCATGGCATGTAATTCTGATAATCTCATGTCTGCTGTCTGACGTTTGAAACTGTAAATAACATGGACACTAAACGAAACATTCAAAGCAAAATACAGATACAGCATGCCTGAAGAAAAAAAAGCAAATACATACATTATTTGAAAGTCTCAAAATCTAAAACTAGAAAGTGTTGAACTACTAAAAGCAATATATTTTTTTTTTTAGAACTTTGGGGAAAAAACATTTTTGAAAGTAATATAAAATATTGATTAATATTTTTGTTTTACTAATCATCTTTTATGAGAAAGTATTGCCTTAGCAATCTGTAAGGTGACAGGTTTATTCCCTTTCAAGAGAGCGATAATCATGTAAATCGCGCATCAGCTACCCGGGCGCCATGATGAAGTGTAATTACACAAGCCACTTCTCTGATGGATCGCCTGGCTCTTGTGATCACGAATTTCTCCAAAGTTACAATAATTACAGACTAAGATTCTAATTTCTTAATCCTTATCGATTCATTCCTTCATTCGTTTATTTTAAATTGTAAAAATCCTTTTTAGTGCCAGGTTTAAATTTTTAGCGGTTGCCAATTCATTGTCAAAAAAATAATGCATATATCAAGAAAAGTATACAATATTTACAGGAAAAAACACGCAAGGAATCGACCTCGTGATTGGAAAGATTTGTGAGACTTAAAAATGGATTTTTAATCAAAGGGAATAAAATGTAGAATTACTTTGTTCTTGAAACAAATGAGCTAAATTTTATCTTAATTGTATTTATACACACATTTAATTTTTTTTCATAAAGTTGACGAAATACATGTAGAAGAGAAGGCCCACTGATAGAAAAACATATATAGAACATTCGCCAGCGCACAGCTTAAATGAATAGCATTTATAATACATTTGTACCCTTCTATTCTTTAACTCAATATAATTATCTATGTGAATTTATTTTTGGTTTGTTACGTCCCAAAATTGCATATATTCAAGTTCCTGTTGAAAAATTATGTTCTGTCCTTTCATAAATTTGTAATAATTAATTACATAAATCATGAATGAATCAAGAGTTTAAAAAAACCCAGTTAAAATCCATCTGCCTGCTTTTACTCACTGACTACAATGTTAAGCATCAATTCAATAAAAAGAATTTCAATTTTCTACAAATTCTTATCAATCTCAACTTACAGTAATCAATTATTTCCAATTCAATATTCAATATTTCGCTAATTACACCTGTTAATTAATTACTGCGGATAGATCTTACCGTGGTGTGTCGTCTTGGTCTAGATAACGACATTCTATTAAACTAGCAACAGTGACGAGTAGACAGCATACGCCAGCCAAAATCTGTGTTCGAAGCATCTGTAACGATATTGTTTATACACTTTTTTGGATATTCTTTCTTGTAATATATGTTTTTCCAACTTTTTTGAGTAAATTTCTTCTATTTAAATCCGAGTGAAAAGATAGCAGGTATTTAGCAATTTCAGAGAGGTTTTCCGCTGTAAGACTTTATGTTTTAAAGTTGGATATTTCGAAGTAAAGTTGAGAAAATACTTCTTGTTTTCACAAAAATTTTCGTAAGACCCCTTTTTATATTGAATCTATAAACTCCTGCACTTTTCGAATTTTTCTTTCAAATTTAAAAATCCGGAAGCTTTGTTCTTCAGTAAACCATGTAGATGCAGGCAATGGAAAGAGTATATCAGTATACTGGTATAAAAACCGTGCCCTACATCAACATTGTAAACAACTGAACGTTCATTCAGCATTAGATGTCAATGAGTGTTTGAAGCAGTTGAGAGAATTCTTGAATTATACTCCTTTCATCAATAGAACATTCACTCAAAATCTATTAACGTGTATATGTTTTGATGTTAATCACATTATCTTAAAAATTCTTATTATTATTACTTCACAGTATTTTGAATTTGAATTCAAAATAAAACAACGACAAGTCGAAGTCGTTGATAGACATCATCTTTCACAAGGTAACTTTGCAATGCAATTTATATTATAGTTGACACTTTATCTGTGAACTGTTATTCATTTTTTTAAGTCATTTTAAAATTATTACAGTTGTTGATGCTTTAAACCTGAAAAATAATGCAGATTCTCAAATGAAAGGATTGCTCAAAAGTTGGAAAGTAATTTAAAATGATGATTTTTGATTGCCCTAAGGTTATGCTACAAATAGATGGCAAGCAAGAAAAAAAAATCATAGATACCTTTTTTCCAGTTCTTTATATTTTCCAATGATAGGAGTATATTTGCCAAATTGTTTGAAAACAAATTTTAAACAAACTATATATTAAAAGATAATTTTAATGGACAATTTTTGAGACGATATGTTTACGTCTAAATTATATTTGGATTAATAATTTTTATTATTGCCTGTTTATGAAATAGCAACTTGTGGTACACTGAAGAATAAGGCTTTGTGTAAGACATATTCTTTATTTAAATTGGAAAAAAAAACTTTCTATTTCGTCTACTTTACGACAATTTCCAATGCGCAATTATCAAATTATTTTAGAATCTTAAAAGAATTATTAGGATTTTACAACTAAGATATAGTTTTGTCTATTTACTTACATATGTATCCTGTTTTAATAGTAAAACCACTAACCTTTGCTGTAAGTATTCCTTTTTTCTGTTTCTTTAGCACCTTTGAATGAATGGAAGAGGAATTTTTACCTTTCAAATTTATAGCGGCGGAATCGTTAATAAAATCACGTAGGCAGACTAAAGACCAATCCGTTTTCAAGTATCTCAAGATGACCTCGCCAATTTGCATTTAGAAGTTCATGTCAACAATTGCAGATTCCATGATATCTTGAAATTCTTTTACGATTTCTTTTTTTCGCATCAAACACTTCGAAAGTTATTGACATCAAACTTTAATGATTAATATTAAGTGAACAAGTTTAGAAATGGTAACACCAATTCAATATTGGAAAAAATACAACTAACCGATAGTCAAATTGTAAATACACTAATTTACATTTATGCAAAAGTTTGGAAATTGTTTTCTTCTTTTTTGATTGTTTTTCTGTCGTTTGCAGACTTGTTGAATAGAATCATTCTGAATCTTCAATGTCGCCTGCCTACGTGTCGTGAATGAATGGGAGGAAATCGCCTGGGTGTAAGAAGGTTACAAATAGGTCAACAACCCAAACTTATACATCTGAAATAACTGGCATGTGCCCTTACCACTTAACGTATTACTAGCAATGTCATAAAGAGCAAATTATATATAAATAGCATGTAAGTTTACATACATTAAAAGAGGGTTGTAGGGTAGATTTCCCACTCGTTATTAATTAATACCGACCTGCACAGTTTTAATAGTATTTGAGATGCAAAATAAAATTTACTGTAAATTAATTTTGAATTATTTTACATATGCGATTTATTTTGTACTTTTAAATGGAATATCTAGTGTATTTCTGTAAAACAGAGAAGTGTTGTAGAAGAGTCTTCTTGATTAATCTTTAAAATGATATTTCATATATTAAACAGATACATTGCAATCTATACAACGATTCATTCATAGCGGAGATTCCACACTTGGTGGCTTTGAATTTCAATAATTAAACCTGACAGAGGTGAGGTCTAAATTTCAGTATACACCCCTCATGTGAAAGGATTGATACGAAAGACCTAACTAACCTTGATGTATCTACATCGGAATCATTTTTGAATTTATAATTCAAAGATTAAATCTCTTAATGACTTATAAACAATACAAACACCCCCATGAGGTTAAATAAATTGCACGTGAATGTCAAAGTCATATCTTATCTACCAATAAATGATACAAAGTATTTTTATTTTATATAATGTTAGAGCACATTTCTTGCATTTTTTTTTCAATCTTAAACTTGTAAATAAAACAATGAAACTTTTAAACTCGTGAGAACTACCAAGCACTTTACGACCTTTCAGTTTAGTGATTAGTTAAGACAGTCATGAAAATAGTTCATTGTGTTATACATTTTTTTTTTTTTTGTATATCAATGCCCTCGTTAAATCAAAAAGTATTGTAAAAAATCTTTTAACTCCGTCATTCCTTCACAAACAGATAATAAAAAAAGTATCAAAAATTCTGATTTTCTTGTAAAGATTTCAATAAGATAAAGTTTTTATTTTTTATTATATGTACAACTCTTGACACCTAGAAGAAATGAAGTAATCGAACAATATCAAATCGCAGAATTTTATGTAAAATAAAAGGGTGGGTTTTATTGTACTTCATGGCAATCAGAATATCGTTTACGATGCTACATCCATGGGAAAAACAATATTTGGGTGTGAATGGCAAAACCAAAATGTCAATACGGGATGGCAATATCACGTGACAAGGTTGGGTCATCGAGTGAAACCTCGTTCACGTTTTGGCCATTGACATCATGTAATGTTCATATAACCAAGTGTTTCCACTGAATTTTCAAAAGAATTATATGTATTCGAATCAGGCAGATAATTTTCAAGAAATAATCAGTTACTTGACTCTCGGCTTTTGTTATCTTGGATTGGGTAGGGGGAGCCTTATCTTCGTTTGCCAAAAAGATTAAGCATGACGGGAAAAGTGCAGAAATGACGACCGGAAGGTCGCTACCAGATGGTCGGCTGATGGAACCGGAAAAGGGTGCTTCAGAAAATCTTGACGTCCTTTGATAAATGACCAATAATGAACACGATTTGATGACAACTTAAAAGTTAATCCTATGTCTCCACAACTTTTACAAAGATTTTCTCCTTTTCCAACTCGTATATAAGGAGTTAAATTGCTTTATGTGTTTTATTGAGTATTGGTTATATTGATGAATGTTTTGTCGTCTCCTGTGTTATATAATTTAAGGAAACCAGGCAATATTTATCACCAGTGTGTGACCGGTGCAAAAAATGGTTTAATTTTAAAAAGTCTTCGTCCCATACCTTACAAAGTTTTGGAATTTAAAATATGATTTTTCAATTGCATGCAATCTGAAAATGTATAAAAGTTGGGTTAAATACATCTTCGCAAACCTAGAGTTTTCGGTCCGCTTCGCTCCCCACAAAACGGGGGGGGGGGGGGGGAGCGAACCGAAACCCCTTGGTTTGCGAAGATGAGTGAAATGAAGAAATGTTCCATTTTTCATTTTTTTAATTTGCAAGAAGATGCGAGATACCTCTGCGCACTTTGATACAAACTTGAAAATTTTATTTAATTAGGAATAATACATGTTTTACATTTGGAAATAATCAAGGATTCTTAATACTACATTTTACAGATTTAGAAATTAAATAGGGTTTCTGATACTGTAGAAGACTTGAATTTTCAGAAAAAGCACCCATGTGCATATTAAGGTCAGTCATTGATATTGGCGTGTTCTCTTAATGACCACAACTTAATATGTATTTTTTAATGAAATATGGCAAATTTGGTATAATAGCATTTATTTTCTAAATCTAAAATAATGTATCAATTTCCAGACAATTTGGAAATATTAATGGAGACAGAAGACAGTATCAAGAATCAATCTGCAATTTCAGGGTTTATTTCAGGGTTATAAATGCCTTTTCAAAATTAATACAGTCATATTAATATTAAAAAATTAATTTATAGTTCCATAAATAGGTATTTGCATAAATATTATGATTTGCTAATTTATTTAAGGTGATAATTTTTGTTTTATACAATTTTTAGAAGGAAAATATGAATGTCCCATCTACATTATTGTTGTAAAATAATGCCTTTCCCACCCTAATGAATACCCCCAAGAAAGTACCTGTCCCCACATACTTTTCAGTGGTCCCACCCTGGTTAAAGTATTGCCGTGTCCCTATGGGATTTAAGATTTAAAAAAATGTAATTTATTTTTATTTGAAGAAATATTTAAATTGCTATATTTTTTTTTTTATTTTTGATGATATTTTTAAGCTACGTTTTTTAAAGAAGTCACTGAAGTATAAGAAGGTTATTTGATTTATTCTTATTGGATTCGTTTATATTGTTAATTCATAGAAAGTAATGTGTAAAATTTCACGCTTTTTCTGCATGTTGCTAATGTTCATGCTGGTCACTATATCGACTGGTCATATCCCCTCTCACCAATGTTACTATTCTCCAAAATTTGACCGATTACACACATGTAAAGGTAGTCTCTACAACTAAAATACCATTGTGTTGTTCCGTACGGGGAAAAATTGTATTGAACGATTTCGACAAAGAGGGTTTTTAAAAGACAATCTATCATGTAGCGAAGTTAATGTAGCTATTTCCGAAATGTCTGCAAGAGACAGCGCACTAAATGGCTTCAACAACTGTTGCTTTTTCCATCATTTATCTCGAACATTACATAATAATTTGATGAGGAATACCCATGATCTGTTTTTACCTCAATTAGGATTGTTCTGAATTACAACAAGAGTTCTGTGCAAATATTTCTAAACTTACATCGTAGTCATGGTTAACGTTGATTTGATCTATGACAAAGATGCTTTGGCGGGCTCTTGACTATATTTTTCTCAAGCAAGGAATAAATCAATAAAATTGGCTTACTTGGCTAGATCGCAATGATAAAAACTTCGGTAACCACAGTACTACAAAGTTTAAATTTGTACTTAGTAACTAATGACTTCTAAGGCTTTAACTGCACTTGTGCAAAGAATACTCCTCCCTTGAATCGATATAATTGTAAATTACATGAATTTGCACGTGATATGCAATAATAACAGAATCAATGAGGCTAATTGATTAATTAATTCATTTATTGATGATTATTCATTTTGAATAAATATTGCAATAGTGTCATAAAAAGTGCACTGGAATCAGGAAAATAAGAAATAAAAACAAATATGTATTAACATGTAATGTATTGCATGATTACATGTAATGTAAAAATCAATCCGTTTCTTTGGTAGAGAGAGATGTCCGTGCGTGCTTGCTTGCGTGCGTGGTGAGTGTGTGTGAAAGCGACGTCAGTTTCTTGCCAAATACTGATTTATCGTTTGAATATAAGAATGTAAGACTTTTAACTGATTTTGAAATAAAAATTACACGTTAATTTGTTCTACGTAACAGCTTCTTTGCCAAACTTTCAATTTTAAAAACTTGATGGGAAAAACGTGATTATCAATCGTCCTACTTTGATTCTAGTATGCAATAAAATAACCATCCTTGTTGCTTCGTTCTGTCTTGTGTCAAGATAATGGCTCATCGTTATGTCATAGGATACAAGTTATGTCATAGGCATCAACAAACTGAAATTTGGTAAACACTCACTTTAGTTGATTCGATAAATATTTATTCATTGCAACAGTGTTTTTTATTTATAAAAAAAAAAATAGATTTTGATAATTGTCTTTAACAATAATTGCAAATTTAAAAATTGGACGATAGCAGCGTGAACTGAAATTACCGGTATAAGTAGCCTATACGCAGTGTAACCTTTAGCGGTACATGATGTTTCCTGTAGTAGAATAATAAATATACATGTAATCAAAATGGGTAACTTAATAATTAATACTCCTGAAATACAAGTTCAAGTTCAAGTTCAATTTATTCACCCAAACCAAAATATTGGTACATGGGGTTCATTAACAACATATATACATTATATACAATCTGGTCAGAGGTACATATACAAAACAAAAAATATGACATATGATTGAAAAAGAAAATAAATAAATAAGAGAGGGGAAAATATATCAAGGAGGACAGACAGCATCATAAATTTTTAAAATAAAC